AAAAAAAAAATGGAGCGTGCTTGTGTAATGCAATGCACATATAAGTGTACACATCCAAGCCAAGAAACGCAATTGACAAACAAATATTCAATTTCAATCGAAATTTTTGAACCATTCCGCGCGCCATATTTATGGTTAAAAATAGCGAGACGTAATTGATACGCGATATCGTGTTGCTTTAGATAATACGCCATGAAAAATTCATTAAAAAATTGAGGATTATGCATTTCAAAATACTTCAAACCGATACTATGACAAGGCAGAAGGTCTAAAAATGCACAAAGTGTGTTCTAAGCACAGATAGTATTTTAGAGCGACTGCAAGACCATTTAGATTTGTTTACATATGACATAGTTACATTAACTATGCATTTTGGATTTTTTCTTGTCTGGTCATGCTCGTAGCTCAATGACCCCTAACCTCTTTATGGAATTCAACTCCGCAGCTCAACAAACAACTCCATTATCGTTCGGTTATCAAGGAACGGTTTACCTTTCTCGTCCGTTTTCGTTTCAGCATATCAAGTTCCCCTGGCTTTTCAAAAAGTATATTTTTGAAAGCTCAAGGCTGTTGTTATCCGTTCCCAAAAAAGAATTCATTACGATTTWAAAAAAAAAGAGACAAAAGCCTGGTAAGTGTTTGTTTGTTACTCATTACTTCCGCCATGAGATCAGTCGCCATGATGAGCTGGAGCTTGTTGAAAAATCCACTTTTATTACCTGGTTTAATATCTCGTTGGTAGGAAAATATTAGACTCATTTACAGGCTGGAACTCGCCTTTCCCTAAACGACCTGTTTAGATCTTCGTTGAGTCCTTAATTGTGTTTTTTTCTTCGCTAAATAACTATCGTCATCTCTCACTTTCTAGTTTGTGACCAAAACAAGAGTTTGACAGCTTCGATCTGCTTGCAAAAAATTCGATTGAAAACAGTTTGCATATATTTTTATACTCGTACGCAACTTGTCTGAGACAAAGTTCCAAGGCCTTAAATTTTTTTTTCTAATTCTGGCTCGGGTTAAATCAAAAGAAACCTTTAATACGTACACACCAGTGCCTGAGATTAAAACGGTCGACTGGATTTACATGGTGCTATTATATCAGTTTTAATGTTTATGTAAACTCACGGAAAATTGTATTGATCCTGTTTGATCGTCAATTAAATTAAGAAACTAAAGGAAAGGATAGGCATAAGGCCTAGAATTATCAGAAATAGGTCAAAAATATGAAGGTTCATTTGGTTATATATCTCGTTTAATTTTTCTAAACCTTATGGTTTTCTAACCAAGACTCAATTAAAAATTTGACATGGCTGTCAATCAATTAGCCATCTGTCAGTAGAGACTGGAAACTGCTGAGCGGCTCCTAGCAATATGCTAGGACCAGTTATATGTGATATCGATGAAATGCGTAATTATCTTTAGATAATTAACGAGAAGACTTTCAGAGTTTGTCGACGTTATTAATGAATCTCATAAGCTTACCTTTGTTGACAGGGCGTCTTTGATTCTATTTTCAGCGGAGGCACAGATTGAATCAAAATGGGTTTCATGATGTTGGTCATGTTATATCTGCTCGCAGAAAATGGTACGTGTACTGATGTATTCGTAAAACGAATAACTAGAATTCTAACTACTGCTATGAAGTAATTTACAGTATTTCCATTACATACTGCTTTTTCTCTTATTTATGACATGCGTTTTCCGGGTCAATAGACTTTTCTAAGTTGACCAACTTTGGTATGAACAAATAGGAAAGTGAAATTCTTATATATATATACTATATTGTATCACAGATAGTTTTGTGTTTAGCAAATATTTTTCTGATGATAATCATGGGACACAGGATTTTTAGTTTAGTCTGACAGAGTTAAAGATAGGGGAAATTGCATATCACTTGATAACGATCGAAGTGTGCATGTTCATATTCGTTATGTCAAAGAGCCCATTTATGGTTTTTTTGATAACTGAATCGTTCGAATGTTCTGTGTACATGCATCTTTGGCTGTTTCATGATATAATAGMTAGAAATAGCTATCTATCATGAAATAAATATTACTGTAATAACTCAGATATATATTAATTATTTCTTGCGGTTACTTCCTTATAGAAAAGTAAACATGAATTTTAACTTGATCTGACCTGTTTCCAAAACATTTTTGTAACCAAAATTAGAACAAAATTGCATTAATTCTCAAGAATTTTTTAAGAAAGGAATCAAACTGAAGGGAAGAGGATAACGAGGATCGGGACAATCGTCCCTTCTCCCCTTACGGAAATTGTGTTGACAAAATTAAAAAGTCAAAAAGTTTGAGAAATGTGTCTCGATAAAACTGAGAAAAGTAATAACAAAATAAGTTTTTCAACACTTGCAGATTGGCGGGAGCTTTCACTCCGAAACGCGCGCTTCCCTTCTTCCCCCAACACACTGACGTGATGTAAATTACTCGATGTCTTGTTGGAAACGTGTGACTGGTGAGCACAATTCTAACGTTACAACGCCTTTTTTAGTTGCAGTTGTCAAGGCAAACAACTGTTGGCAGACTTCCGTTAGCATCCATTACACAACGGGGCCCTCGGTGGTCACCGTTACACAGAGCGACGCAAACAGTRTCATGAATGAGGTAAAATTCTATAACTGGTTGATTATAGTAAAACCGTGACCGTAAAAGTCGTTACTGCCAAATATAATGGTGCCACCACTTTTCTACTTTTCTTCAGCTTGTAGCTGCTCTTCCAGAGAGCTGTCGGTGCGTAATACCCTTTTCACTCCATCAGTCCTCTGTTTTAAGAGTATTCAAAGCTGCGCTACATGGAGTAGAGAAAACTTTAAAAGTGCGTCGCTTAGAAGGCAGCAAACCTGGCAACTTAGCTAACTTGCTCCATGAAAAGTCATTTCTTCCACCGCGAACCATAGCACTACAGTATTCTGTAGAAAACGGCTCCTGAGTCCAAGTAGGTCTTCGACTCAATTTCCATTTGGAGATGTCTAGAATAGCATCGAAATCATCTCCGAAGAGAAACAGATCGTTTGTGTCCGCCATATTGTTTTAGACTGTAAGGGGGCTATTGTTCGTCCCAGCCCCTGATGGTAGGGGGTCTTCAATCCCTATCTCTAGCGTTAAAATACTTCGCATTTACCATATCGATCATTATGTTGGTATTTTTCGATCACAGGCATTGAATCATGGGAAAGGTCAGCTGTCCTGTTCGGGTTTAACACTCAAGCTCCTTAACGTTACCATAACAACCCCTGGAAACCGATATTCCATTACAGGACTCTTTGGAGTCATATATGGTAACATGGATTCAAGTCAAAAATCGAATGCGCAGTCATGTCTTGCAAATGCCGTGATATTCAATGACATCGTCTTGAGACCAGATTACTATACGAGTCCTCTGAAAGGGTCTTACTGGGCAGACCGCGCATCGTTAACCAACTTTCAAGATTCTACCTGTTGTTTTAATGGGATGTTCCCGTCAAATGGCGTGTGCGGTGAGTTTTATCCCAATAATAGGCAGAGCTGCTCTATTCTACTAACTAAAAATCCTACTTGATTGCTTGAAGTCAGTCAGCGTAATGAATCTCCTGAATATCATTACTAGCATCTGAGAACGCTTTTCTCCTTTTATCGTTTATAATCAATTAGGTTTCATTTGAAGCGTGCCATTTTGGTCATTCAGAATTCCAATTTCATGAGAAATTGATTCTGACAATCTTTGACGCTAGCTTTCAGTAAGACTGAGTGCTATTTTTTTAATACTAAACACAACAGCAATGATGAATAGTTTGTCTCATATAAATAACACCTTATTACTTTTTTTCTGTCGCAGTTTCTCCGGCAGCATCATCTTCAATCGTTACCTTATTACCATCGACAAGCATCACTTCAACTTCTGTGCCTGGTATATTTTGTGTGAAACATTCACTTTTTATTATCAATATTGTTATTGTTATCGTTGTTGTTGTTGTTGTTGTTGTTGTTTTAAGACTTTACAATCATGAGAGGTGGTTAGTAATGAGGCGTAGGCACTGAGGGTGGTCAGTTTACAATCATGAGAGGTGGGTAGTAATGAGGTGTAGACACTGAGGGTAGTCAGTTTACAATCATGAGAGGTGGTTAGTAATGAGGTGTAGACACTGAGGGTAGTCAGTTTACAATCATGAGAGGTGGTTAGTAATGAGGTGTAGACACTAAGGTTGATCAGTTTACAATCATGAGAGGTGGTTAGTAATGAGGTGTAGACACTGAGGTCGGTCACTTTACAATCATGAGGCACTGAGGATGTTTTCAGCCCTTTGGCTACTTGGTTGATGATGGTCGTTTGTATAAAAACGGTACACAGTTTCATCTGCCAATTAACGTACAGTACAACAAGGCATGAGCAACGTCACTTCTAATCATGAACAACAATGAACTTACATGGCGATCCCTTTTCAAAGTAGAAGTTCATCAGATTTTGATTTTGAATTTTCTTGAAGTTACTACAGCAGCCTCAACCTCCTCCTCGTCACTCCCATCGCCATCGACGATATCGTCACCATCATCGTCACCATCATCGTCACCATCACCGTCACCCTCATCGTCACCGTCACCGTCACCGTCACCGTCTTCGTCACCGTCACTGTCACTGTCACTGTCACCGTCACCGTCACCGTCACTGTCACCAGTGAATTCAACCTCACGTTCCACACCTCAATTGTCATCGTCATCCTCATCATCGTCACCGTCACCTTCACCAGTACCTCCAGTTACAGTTTACTCAACAGTTAACATCACTTCCTGCCTTACTGCAGCTCCAACTAATAATAAAACCATAGGTAACTTTTTCAATTAATAGTTTTACTTAATTTATTGCAATAAAACTTAAAAAACGTATTAACACGTAAATACACTAGCATCGTAGGCCAAGTACGCCTTCAAAGGAGGTCTGCAAATGAAGTGATTTTTGGAACTCGATATGACAGCTCACTAGTGATTACTAGTTGAAATCTTCACTTCTAACTTTCAAATGATTCAAGCTGAATCGGATGAATGTTAACTTAATATTTCATATTTTTTTGAGACAAGTCAAACTGACACAAACAAAAGCAATAGGCATGAGACCTACTGATAACCACTTTTGGTCTACTAACTAATTAATCGATCGAGGTAAAGCACCTGCAACTGCATTTCTTTATTATTTAGTTTTCCTTAATGATTAATTTGCTTTTATTTTACGTTAGCGACGACAACTACGAACATTAATCCAGTCAGAACTAAAGTTATTTGAGTAACATTGTACATCAACTCATGCGAGTCTCCTACAACTACTATTGCAAGTACGTTTTCCACTTTTTTCGATAATGTTCATTCGGAAGTATATTGTTAGGTTCTGGGAAAGATCCCAGTATGGACTTCTGTATTACTTTTCTTTTTTTTTTTTTTTTTTTTTTTT